ATGCTCTATCCACTGAGCCAAACCTGCCAGGGTGAGATGGAAGAGACTATTTAGAGACAGCAGCTGGAGCCAGCCATGCCCACCCTAAAGGTGGGAAAGCGGGGGCCTCCTGCAGCCCCTTCACACAGGGGTCACCCTGCTCAGGACCTGTCACTCACTGGAATGAGTGGGGAGGGGCGGGATCCTGACTTCCTGACAGGCTCTGCCACATTCCTCGGGGCCTACAGCCAGGCCACTGGGCAGGGGGTGCGAGAGGCCCAGCACGGGGGCATCTGGGAAGGAAGCACAGCCCAGCAGCAGGGAGACTGACCTCAGGGATGCTGAGCAGGAGCTCTGGGCAGCTGGCAGTCTGCCACCCACACCTCGTGGCTCTGTGGCTCAGACAGAGAGCCGGGTTCCACAGTGGCCCCGCTCAGCCTGGCACTGCCCCACGACCAGAGGCGGTCAGACCTGCAAAGCCACCAATGCTCAAACAGCTGCCCACACGCTTTGCCACCCATAAAGTACTTTCAATCCTGACAACCAGCCAGGGAGGTGGGGATCAGTCCCATTTTACTGATGGGAACACAGAGGCTCCCAGGCATGCCACGGACTCCCAGTCTGTACAGAGCAGAGGAAGGATTTGTGCTGAGGTCTGTCGGATTCTGAGGTCGGGCCCATTCCCTAAGTCATCGATACTGCTTCCCCATGGCCGGCAGAGTGGCCGGAACCGGGAGCCACGGCATCTCCACTATCCCCCATCCTAAGCACCCCTCTCCCTACCCTGAGCCCCAGCTCCCCTCCCTGCCAGCTTCTGGACAAAGCACGTTCCTACCCGAGCCTCAGCCAGTGAGTGGCCCCTGTGAGCCAGGGCGGGAAGGAGGGGTGAGCCTTTTAAGGAGAGCACCCCTGGCCTCTGCAGACTCGATGGAGCAGGGACGAGCCCAGAAAAAACAGTCCAGAGAGAGGGAGACAGACTGGAAGCCAGTCCTGTCACCACTGGCCTTTTAAACGACTCTGTCTCATCCGCAAAACGGGGTCACTCTACACGTCAGGTGAGCATTTTGGGGCATTTATTCAACACTTTCTGCGGGCCTCCTACACCCCAGGCACTGCTCTAGGCCAGGGCTACCCCAGAGGAGACATCGAGCAATATCTGGAGCCATTTCAATGATCAAAATGGAAGGGGCAGTGCTTCTGCACCCGGCGGGCAGAGGCCAGGAAAGCTGCTGAATATCCTCTGACGAGCAGGACAGCCCACACAACCGCCACCCAGATGTCCAGAGAAACCCGCTCTATCGCGGTGGGCACGCCCTGCCCTCGCCGTGCGTGCACTCTACATGGAAGACCCACATAAAAGTGAAAAAATAGGAGAGGCCATGAGTGTTATTTAGGAAAACAACGCAGGGCAGCTAGTGAGAGTGCCCAATGGGAGCTTTCACCGGCAGGATGGCCGGAGAAGGCCTCTCGGGGGATTCCTTCGTTGGCGCAGAGGAAGGGAGGGAAGGACACCAGGAGATACCAGCAGGAGGAACGGTCAAGGCGGAGGGGACAGCAAGTGCGAAGGCCCGGAGGCGGGTATGGGAGGGGCCTGTTTGAGGAACAGAAAAAGGCCAGTGGGGCACAGAGCTGAGATTTAAGCCGATGTGCTGAGTTGAACGTAGCACACGGGCATCGAACTCCTCCTCCCCTCCCTCCCTCCCTCCCCACAACCTCCACGGCTCCTCGCCCTCAAAGCACTGGATGGGCAGGGCCGTAAAACGTCTCCAGCCCTGTGAGGGCCAGGACAAGGGAGGGCCACCAGACACTGGCAGGTTCTCAGCCTGATCGGCTCCAGGGCCTTCCATGCCCCCTTGGACCTGAGAGGAAGAGGAGGTGGACAGAACTCGCCACGCCCGCGGGAAAGCAGAGGCTGATACCCTGGCCTGGGTGCCAGGGGCAGTGAGGAGCAGAGCCCAGGTCAGTGAGCACTGGCAGCGTGGCTCCCAGAAGGCTGCAGCTGGGTCATGGTCATCAATGTCCCTGGAGCCCAGCACTGGGCTGAGCTCGGAGTAGGCGTCTGTGACGGCTGGGGGGGGGGGGGGGTGAACGGGTGAATGGCACAGCCTCAAGGTGCCAGGCCACCCAACCACTGCCCTCGGAAGCAATGATGCCTGGGCCACATCCTCATGCAGCACACAGGTGCCCTGCGAGGCTGCCAGGGAGGGGGCAAAGGGACATCTGGGCCAGCACACACCTGGACCACCCAGCGCCACGCCGATGGCCAACACCCCAGGCCAGCCTGGAAGTCCCGGCCTCTCCCATAACCTGAGCTGGGTACCGAGGAGGCAAACAGCAGCCCCCACACCCCAAGATGTCCAGGGGTAGGTAGGTCAGACCCAGCCAGGTAGGGATCCCCTCAGCTCCTCCCCGACAATAACAAAAAGCCAGACTGACGGGGCCCCGGCCACCTCCATTACAGGACACCAACCACTCACCTGTCCTCCCAACTTCACTGGCATTTATTTGTCCAGTGAACGAAGGAACGTCCAGTCCATTCCACCCCAGCCAACAAACACAGCTTTTAAAGGAGGCACACGCCCTGAGTACACAGCGAGTCTGCTGTCCCTGCAGCCGGCTCAGGTGGCCCTGGGCTCTCTGTGACTCAGTCTAGTGACAGCCCGCATGACACAGGACCCGCTGTGTGCGAGGGGCCCGCTGAGGGCAGGAACAGGGATCCGGGCACGGGGAGGCGAGTGCAAAGGGCTCTGGAACCAGGCAGACCTGCACTCATATCCCTGCCTCCCCCCTCCTCGCCCTCAGCTCTGCAATCCTGGGGAACGCCACCACCTCTCAAATGGGAACAGCAGCATCCACCTTTTAGGAGCTGCTGGAAGGAAAATTCCAGGGGGAGTCTGCGGTAAATTCCTGGCACAGCACCAGACTCTCAGGCGACGTTCCAGAAACTGGAGCGATGATGCTGGTGATAACGAGGAGGAGGAGGAGGAGGGCCCCTCAATCCCTGCCCTCAAGGAACTTTCTATCTATCGAGGCGGATAAAAAATTGATTAAGAACGTGGCGGTTGAGCGACCACCTATGAACCAGGAGGCCAGGGTTCGATCCTGGGTCAGGCCATATTCCTGGGTTGCGGGCTTGACCCCCAGGGTGGGGCCTGCAGGAGGCAGCCGATCAATGATTCTCTCTCATCATGGATGTTTCTGTCTCTCTCCTTCTCCTTTCCTCTCTCAAATCAATAAAAATAAAAATAATGTTTAAAGCAGAATGTAGCCTGTCCTCAAGAGAGACAAGGGCTCTGAGAGGGAAAGGGAAAAGGATCAGAGCCAGCCGGAAGAATGAAGAATGCAGGGGGTGGCATTTGCAAAGGCCCTGAGGTCAGGGCAAGGGGTGCCCCCTGAATAGCACGGGGTACACTGTTTCACAGGGTGTCAAGAACAGGAGCAGAGAGGGGGCAGCAAGAACCTGGATACCTCTGCCCTGAGACACGGGGGTTTGGGGGGGGGCACAGAGGCTTCTCAGGCAGGGAGAGAGATGCTCCAACTAGAGGGGCCCCCGCAATGCCACCAAGGAGGGCCCACGGGAGGGGGCGCAGGGCCAAGAGATCAGCTGGGAGGCTCTGGGAGGCTCTGGAGTCAGTACCAGGAGGAGGGAACCTGCGGTGACCCCGGAGCCGGAGAGGGGAGGGAAGTGAGCGATGCAAGGGAAACCCCTCATCTCCATCCAGGACTCGGTCGGGCCTGGTGCCCCATGGGCCACAGACACCTGTGCCTCCACCCCAGGGGCTCACAGCATGGGAGCAGGGTGACACCGTGGTCAGGCTGAGGACCACCGCCATCCGCAACCACGCTCAGCTCTCACGCTGGGACTCTCCACCCAGGACCACCGCTGTTTCCAGGACAACCTCTGGGGCAGTCCCCCACAATCCACTGTGTGAGAGTCCATTCTGGCCGGACAGCCCCTCCTCTGCCTTCAAGAACTGGACTCTGAAATTTCAGCCTCTGCCGGTGAGTCACCACACAGGGCCACATGAGCCAAGGCCACCTCCCCCACCTTCCTTCCTGGTCAAGACGTCCAAGATGGCTCCCTACAAACTCCATGTCCATGGGGAAGGCCCACCCCCTCCCCAGCCATGGGGGGGAAGGAAGAGACCCTTTAGAGGAAGACTGCCCCCCACGCCCTTCCATGGAATACAGGGAGCTCTCTGAGCCTCAGTTTTCCTTCTCTGTAAAATGGGTCCCTCTATTGGACCAGAGCATGGAGGCAGCCACAAAAACAGAGGACAAGTCATTCCACTGCCTTGCTGGTTGGTGGGTGCAGTTAGAATAACGGGTCTGGGCTTCCTGCCCTCTCCATTTTCCTGGGGCCCCCTGAAAACACCCACAAGTCCTCACTCTCCTCCTTGGTCCCCAGGGCGCGAGCACAGGGCAGGCCCCGAGGACAGGTGGGTCCAGGGGAAATCAAGGACACCATCTCCTCCTTATTACCCCGCAGCCGCCGGAGAAGAGATTCTCAAGTGGCCGCTGGACACGCCAGGCGGCTCCTGGGAAGGAAATGAGCCCACGGTTCCCCTGTGCCCTTATTAGGCGCCTGCTGTACACCTGGCCCTCTCCTTGCAGACACGCGGCCCTTGTATTTCTACGAAAGAGGAAAGCCAGGACCCAGAGGAGGGGGAAGTCATCTGAAGAGGGTGCCCCGCGTTGCAGGAGGCGCAGCACCCCAGAGCAGACACCTCCTGCCCCCGCGGGAAGCCTGGTCTCGGCAGTCACCGGGTAACGACGCTGGGATGTCCAAACGCCCCGGCCGGTCCTGGCGGAGGGACTTGGCTGCGCCCCGACCCCGGGAGCCAGAGTTCGGGCCCCCCCACAACCTCTCCTCGGTGCCAAACGGGTCCCCCCAGCGGCGCGCAGTGTGCTCCCCCGTTTTCCCGAGCCCCGCGCCCCGGCCTCGGCGCCCCGGACGGAGCTCGTGGCCGGCGCTCCCCGGGTGGGCGTGAGGGCAGGGGCACGCCGGGCCCGAGAGGCACCCACCTGGGCGGGCACGGCGTGGCCCGCGGCCCAGAGCTGCAGTCCGAAGGCCAGCACGGCCCCGAGGGCGGCGGGAGCCATGGGGCGCGTGGCGGCGGCGGCGGCAGCGGCAGGTCCGGCCGGCGGCCCAGGCTCCTCGGGGCTCCCTCCGCTCCGCTCCGCTCCGCTGCGCCTCCACTGAAAGTGAAAGACCGCGCGCCCGGCTAGAGGCGTGGGGGCGGGGCTAGGGAAAACAGGGGGCGGGGCTAGATGAACGGGGCGGGGCTCTTCCCTCCCGCTGCTCCTCCTCCTTCCTCCCACGCCACATCCCTCCCCCGCCCCAGCCTGCTGCTGGTAGGCCCTCCCGCCAGGACCCTCACTCTCGCAGAGCCCATCCTGGCCCTCTCTGCCAATTCGGTGCTTTATCCAGCGTCAGCCACCCCCAGCCCTCGGGGACCCCTCAACTTCCCTCTAATGCCCCTTCCCCGGACACCCCCTCTCAGTGTGGGGGCAGGAGACCCACACTAGGGACAAGATCCCTGGGGCTGTGCCTGTTGCTCAACAGGTGGTCTGTTCTGGGGCACTGCTCCTCCTGCGATGTGGGGCACACTCTTCAGATGACTTCCCCCTCCTGCCCTATGACCACCTACCCTTCCCTCCCCCACAAGCCTCCCACTCCTGTTGAGGTGTGGTCCCAATTTGGGGAGAAAAACCTCCACATTAATAATTTGGGGGACCACTGCTGTTCTCAATCATTCACTCACTGGGACTCTGGGACCAGGCCACCTGGGTCTGAATCTCTGCATTAACTTCACAGAGTTATTATGATGACGAAAAGATACATAACTCATAATACAGTATGGATTCTATATGTATCTATACTTGCAAAGTATATATGTAATTCAATACACTCTGTACACCTATTAGCTGTTATTGCTAGGATTCATTTGTTCTTCTGTCCTTAAACATTCTTCCTAGTGAGCCAGACTCTGTCCTACCTTGCTTTTTGAACCCCTTATCCAGGAAGCTGACAGGTGGCTGGGACAGAAGCCTTCCGGGAAGTTGTGGGGGCCCACAGGGGGGCTGGCCAGGCCAAGGGCCAGCAGAGCGGGCCCCCCTGGAGTTTACATCATGACTGAGCACCCACACTAACTGCCATCTCCACCCTCTTCGCTTTGGATGTCAATCCTGATGCCAAGGCCAGCCCTGTGTGACCAGAACTTTCTCCCCAGCCCTGGGTGTCCCTGTCCCCAGCACACAGGACATTTCTGAGGGGCTGGGTGGGCAGGGCGGCAGCAGGGATTCTGTCCCCTTGTTCCTTCACTGCAGGCTGCCCCAAGAGTACAGGGACCCCTGCTCTGGGCCACCAACCCCCCCTGATGGAGACAGCAAGGACGATGCTTCTAGATGCTGAGTGAGGAACCGGGAAGTGACTCTTGGGAGATGGAAAATCCCACCTCCTGATCAAGAGGCTGGGAAATCACCTGGTTCCCACACACTTGTGGGAATGGGCCTCTCTGAGCGTGCGGCCAGCCCACAGCCTTAACTCCAGCATCAGCTTCTAAAACTCATGTGACAATTTCTCTGGCCTTTACAAGTCTCATCTGGGAGCAGTTTTGAGGACTCCCTGATTCATAAGAGAGAGCCAAAGGCCACCAATGGGGTGTCACCTGGTGGGGGCAGGGGCAGCTGGTTCTCCATGAATGTCCTCTACACATCTCAAACCCATTGAGTGCCTCTGACTCCACCTCTCCCACAGCTCAGCTCATACCTGTGCATCCTGTCTCCCTCCAGTCTGCAGCCTCAGACCCTTCCAGTCAAAGCTCTAACTCAGTCAGAAACCTCTGTGGAGCACCTGCCGTGTGCCAGGCCCGGGATATGTGCAAAGCAGACAAGAACCTCTCATCCGTCTTGTGGTCCCTAAACTCTGGTGATTATCAAGTTCCAGAGAGGTCCCTTGTAGCTCCTCTTGCCTGTCCACCTCCAGCTCCCCAAGAGGGCACTCAACACAATGGTGACTCCTTCCCCCAAATCCTTTCTCTGGCTTCTGCAAACCCCACACCCTGTTTAGGCTGGAGGTGGACAATGGCAAAGTCTGGGTGAGCCATCTGACATGGAGTCTCTTAGCATCATCCGCACAGGTGGCCCAGGAATCTCTCTTCAAGGTGGAGTTTGATCTCGGCGCCCACCACATGGTACCCGCCTTTGGGGAATCTGGTCAAACTTAGCGGTAGTGCAGGGAGGCCCTTTAACCTGCTGCCACAGTCCAGGTCACCTGGCCCCTCTCCTCCTACCCCCCAGCCCAGCTCTGGCTTTGACCTTGGCCATTCTCACTTGCGATCCTCCAGTGGCCTCTGGCCTGCGGGCTCTGCCGTTCTAGTCTGTTCTTTATGATGTGCTCAGGGCCAGCTCTCAAAAGCATCCGTCTGTCATGTTATTCTCCCAAGTATAGTAGTTCTCAACCAAGGGGTGATTTTGACCGCTGCCTCAGAGGAACATTGGCAGTATCTGGAGATGTTTTGGGTTGTCACACTTGCAGGGGGTTGGGCTAGGTGCTCCCTGCATCCGGGGCATAGAGACTAGGGGTGCTGCTAAATATTCCACAATGCACAGGACTTCCCCCAAAACAAATTACCCAGCCCCAAAGGCTGATAGACGCTGAGAAACCTTCATGCATGGCTCACCCAGCCTTCAGACTGAGCTCAGGCTCTTCCGTGAGATGCAGGAGCCTTTGCCCCCAGCCCAGCCTGCCCACCAGGCAGCTCTCCCCCGACTCCACACTGCAATCCCAGGTTCCCACCTCCATGCCTCGTCCACACAGGTTCGTAAGCCTGGGATGTCCCTCCCTCCTGTTTGCTTGGTGATCACCTCTTTGTTATTCAAATTGAAGCCCAGTTCTCCAGCTGTGAAACTTGTCCATAACCATACCTCGCCCACCCAGGCAGGGTTGGGACTTCAACAGATGGTTAGCGTACCCTCCCCTCCGTCTGGTTAGTCGCTTCCCCTGTCCCTCTTCTCCCTTAGTAATTACACCAGCAGTCAGAGGACTGCAGGCGGTGTGCTGGGACAGCAGGGCCAAGCTTTACAGTGAGTTTGTGTGGCTAGTAAAAGGCACAGCGATTCAAACCAAGCTTAGCTGCCTTAAACCTACAGCCAAGCTGCCTCTCATGAGGCTGGACTGTGCGGTCCTCCAGAGTGGGGGCTCGGTCACGGCCCCCTCTATTTCCCTGGTGAGTGGGTGATACACAGAGGGAGGGGCTCAAGAAAGTTCAAGTGCATGAGGACTTCGTGTAAGACTAGTGTATGCAGGAGACAGTGCAGGGGTGAGTGAGTGAGTAAATGAATGAATTAATGCATGAACAATTGGGTGAGTGAATGAGTGGATGTCAGGGTGAAGGCCCAGGAATCCAGCCAAGTCCAATCGCTCCCAGGCCCCACCCACTCAACCTGGTCTCCCAGACCATGCGTGTCTTAGGCCCCAGCCCCCCGGGCAGGAAAAGCCCACCTGCTCCTCAGTAATGGGTAACGACTGGCTTCTAGAAGCTAGGACCATGGGCTGCATGCACAGAATCTGTAACCTTGGCCCGGGCTCCCTGGAGCCCCTCCTCACTTCCCAGGGTGCCCCCTAGCCCTCAGAGAGCCCCCACCACCCCACTAGCTGATGGCTGTGCTTCGCAAGCAGCTGTAGATGAAGGCTCAGCAGCAGCAGGTAACACAAATAGTAGCCAGTCTGTCCACCAGTATTTACTGAGCACTTCCTGTGTGCCAGGCATTCTAGTGAGCTCTCCAGCTTCAGCCAGCATTAGGATCATCTCAATGGCTTCTTGCACATGCAGATTCCTGGGTTCCTTCCTCCCTTGTCTGGCAATCCGGCATTTTCCTGAGCCCCCGGGTGACCGCCAGGCACCTTCTGGGAAACCTGCCCAGAGGAGTGAGCTGCAGCAGGTGCCGTGGCTGAGGGCGGTGTGGGAGGCATAGCTGCGGTGGTGCTGGGATTGGCAGTTCACACGCTGAGGGAGGTCTCAGAACCGGCCACAAAGCCAGCGCCTTCTAACCTGGTCCCGGGGGTCTGGGAGCATCCTGTCTTGCAGGGGCTGCTTGGGAAGCAGAACCCCACTTTCCCCCCTTCCATCCCCTTCAGGGCCCTGACCCAGCCCTTCGATGACTCATGTCCTAAAATCATGAACAGGAAGAAGCCCGGGTGTTAGCCGCAGCCCTGCAGCTGCCTTTTCATCGGCCCCTCCCACCTGCCCTCCCACCTTCCCGGGGGCCACATCTGGGGCTGAGCTGGCCATACCAAGTGAGGGCTGGGGGCGCGGGACTGAGACACATTCACTGGCTCCCGTCTGGATTTCCTTCCCAATAAGGGGAGGCCCAGGGGGTGTAGCTCTCCCACCCCTGGTCCGGTCCCCACCAGCAAAGAGGACCCCAGGCAACTTAGGGAAGGGAGCCTGCAGGCCTCCCCCTCTGCCCAGTCTCCCCAAACCTCCCTGTTCGGGGCTGCCTCTGCCCAGTAACCAGCCCCTGAGTCAGGCCCAAACCTTCTGTAGAAGACTCTTAGTTTCTAAACCCCACAAGTGGGGTCTCGGGGGATTCCCCATTCTAGCCGCTGCCTGTGTGACCTTGGGCCGGTGTCCTGATGTATAACAGGAGGGAGCTGATTAGACCCAGGAGACAAGCTGGTTTCATCCTAAATGCCAACTCCCCTTGGTGGTGGCTCCATGGGGCTCTGTGTGGAGAAGGATTCTGAGCCCGCATGTGGAGTCTGCAAGAAAGGGTATGTGACACCTAGCTAGGTGTGTGTGTGTGTGTGTGTGTGTGTGTGTGTGTGTGGTGGGCAGGGAGGAGGGTCAGCCACAGAATGATTACCTGGCCTCTGCCATCTCTGGACTAGGACCTAGTGCCCCTTGATGTTCAAGGATTCGAGGGCTTTCATGAATACCAGGAGCGCTGCTCTGCCTCTTGCTGAGTCCCCGCCCCTCAGCCCGCTGTGTTTCTGAGAACTTTCCGTGTTGATGAGCTGGGTCCCGGCTTCTTCGTGCCTGCTGGGCGGAGCTGCCTCCTGGCCTGCCCTGAGCTGTGTGCCCGCAGCCCCACCAGTGGCAGGGGCTAGGTCCACGCTCTGCCACGCTGTCTTGCACCTGTGCCCTGAGCACAGGATGGAGAATGCGTCTAGGACTGGAAACCTAGAAAGTAGACCTGCCAGGCGG